CCTTTTTTAAGTTGGTGTTCCAGTCGCCTGTTGAAGAGTTGCCGGGGTCTGTTTGTTTTCCCCTGCGGCCACTCACTGTGCTGGCTTAAACAGCGGCACTGAGGTTTGTGGCGCTTTTTTTTTTTTCTTTTTGCCCTGGAATCTACTGTCCTGGTTCTCTGCTCAGTCCCCTTTTTAAACCGGCGTATGGGCGACTTCCCGTGGCTCCAATCACCACCCAAAAGGGCCCCCGGACCGGTGTATTTTGTACGGAGAACCGCGGCTCCGGGGCGCAGACAAAGCAGCCGCGCGGGGCAAAGCAGTGGCGCTGGCCGAAACAGCCGCGCTGGCGACCGTGGATCACCTCTGCCCGGGAATTTCCTAGTCTGTGGGCAATAAAAACGCGGCGTCCACTCACCCTCTGCGCTTTCACTGGGAGCTGCAATCCTGAGCTGTTCCTAAACGGCCATCTTGGATCCGACTTCCGAAATATTTTCTTAAATATTTCCTCTATGTATGCAAAGCACCTTGACGAGAGTGTGTGGCCACAATTTAACAATGACATTGTACGCTTTGCACACCAACCAGGATTAAGGTTATTTTTATTAATGGGGTTGCTTGCTATTAAATAAACCTTAAATTAGACAACTTTTGTTATCATTTAAACATACCATCATCTTAAAATATGATTATTTACCTTAAAAAAGGATAATTTTATTTTGTGTCTGTGCTAAGGCAGTCTGTATGCGTTTGGGGAGGAAAAGATTCCTTTCTGGATTAAAAGGAACCATAGGATAAAGGAATCTTCAAATATTTAATTAAGATTAAGTTAATCATCTTTTGTCCCAATAAGCATATTATTTTGCTGAGTCACTAAGTACATTTAAATGATATTGCATTGGATTAAGAGGATTAGTTCCCAACCTCACTTCTTTGTTTGCAGAGGACTGCAGCTGAGGGCTTACGGAATGTGGATTGAGCATCACACTAAAAACCATCCTGGGAAAAGGGACTGAAGGATGTAAACTGAAAATTTTAAAGTTCTGCTTTGTTTTCCGCAAATTGCTGAAGATTCAGATAGATATTTGCATGTAAGTGATGTAGATCAATTTAATCTACTAAGACAAATCACAGCATTGAAGACAACATCTTTTTCCCCTAATCCGTTTTCCCTGGCATGCTGTTTATGTTTCAAAAGACACCTACAGAAGACATCGTGATCACAGTGTTAGTTGCACCCACCGGCATCCTTTTTGGTTTTTTTGAAGATATGGTCCTGGCCTTCCAGTTGATCTTTTTCGCCTATATCTGGATCACATTGATACCAAATGCTTGTGCTGCTTCTAACATCAAGATGACACAGCAGCGGTGCTCCTCTTCAATGAAACAAACCTGGTAAGATGATCATAGTGCAGTCCATGGAGTTACTGCCCAATTTCTCTCACTAGCTGCCTCAGGCCTACAGGGAACCTAGAAACGTATCTTTAATGAATGGTAGCACATGTTTGTGACCATGTCTGTCTCTAGAGATAGCATTCATGCATCGTCATCATTTACCTCTGTTTGACATCTGAAAGAGCAAGATCTTGGAATTTGCTGACATTTGTAAATTTATGCATATTTATGGAGAAAACAAAGGGTTCATGTAAGGATCCTCTTTCAGGGAAAGTATTTCTTCAATTGGTAATACATTTATTATGAATACATTAACTACTTGTTTAATGTTTCTTCAAATTTATTTTGAGTAGAAATTAGTCTAAGCACCATCTTCTTTGAATGTCAAGTACTTGTAGGGTACATAGTTTCATGGACTGGTGAAATAGTATCAAAAGGCAGTAAGGCCATTTGTCTTTCAAGAATCATTTTCATGTGTTTGACATATCCTGAATATCAACACATCATGATTATTATCTTCCCATCAATAGTCAGGAGCATGTTTGGATGTGCCAGTAAGGGAGATAGCTATCTGTGACAGTGACCTGTTTATACACCAATTTGCCTAGCTTTTAGCACTAAAAATGCCAGGAATCCCTTTAGCCCCAGGTATACTTGAATGATTTGTCACTCTAATACCCATATACTTTTGATGATCAAAGAATGTCTTTGAGAAAGTCTTCCCTTTTCAACAAGCACCAGATTTCCAGAAAGACCCAAAAGGAGAAATTGAGGAACGAAGATGCGAGTCTCGTCTGGTCCACCCCGGCAGCCAATGGGGTGACAGATGTTTTAGCTACATTTCCCTCACATCCTGAATACGTATTATGCATTCACTGTAAGATCAGGAAAGAGAACACAACATTTTAATAAATATCTTCTGAAGTCTCCAGTGTAATGACCAAAACCAAAAACGGTGTGTTACTAGATTCCTGATTCCTGCTCTGTGATTAAAAGTCAGGGACCACCTCTCACACTTGCCTTCCATGCTTCTGCTCCCAGGCCGAGACCTGAGATGATACGAAGTTTTGTTCCATGTAACAACTTTCCCAGTCTTCTTCATAGCGATTAGCTAAGGAAGTATTTGGGAACTGTAAGATGATACCTCCAGACTCTATATTTTTTTTCAGATAGCTTATTACATTTTATAGTATATTTTATCTAATTTTAAAAATCAATGGACACAGCTTAAAATATTATCTGTCATCCAAAGAGTAGACTTGTACAGCCTGGTGGATGTCTAGATGAGCAGGAGAGAGATGATGACAGTAGCTAATTCATCACACCAGCCTACCATCAGCAGCAGAGTTGCTACAGAAAAAATCTACCATGTGTATTTTTTAGGTGACATTGAAAGAGCAAGAGAAGAACATTGGTTCTTTGAGGTGAGGTAGAAATTTTTTTCTGATGTTAAATGCCTCATTTTTAGATCCTATATAAAGGAAAAGAAGAATTTTAGAGCCTACGCAAAGCAGACTTCGCTCATAGGAAACACCAGGATTTCGGCCATGCGGGGCCAATTGTATTTGTTGTCACTTCTCTATATCCTAAATGAAGGTTTCTTTGAGTCACAAGCCAGAATGGGATTCATTAAAATTTATACCTGCTTCTTTTGTTCATAAAAGAAAAACCCTCTTGGGCACTAGAGATTGCATAAACCATCACACTGGTCCAGAAGTACCACTTAGAATGAAACCCCGGCATTTTCCCTGAGTGAGCAGAGTAACACAGCCAGCCAATTTCTGAGCTGTCACTCAACCACCCAATCATGCAGATTTTAGGGCATTTGACCAAAATACAGTAATTACTGTATGCAGTCATTTTTAGAGTTAGGGGCCAGGAGTCTTCCTACCTTACTTTGTGAATAGATACTGTGAGGTTCTTTGCCCAACACCCAACCTGATTATCAGCCAATAATTAAGTAATGAATGAATGAATGAATAATCCACTCTTCTTTAATGCAAGAGAACTAATAGAGTAAACATGAAAGGAGACATGATCTTTGAAAATTATAAGGGGGATTTATATATCCATTATTTTGGGCCAGTCTTCATACAATAAGGCTCTTAAATGTTTTGCTTTTGGTTGTTTTCGTTCAGAATATAACCTCACTTTTTAATCCAGAGTTTCCCTTCTTTCAAAATCTAAAGACTTTAAAAAATATATTTATTCAAAGACAACTTTTGTTTCCTAAAAACAAAGTAGAGAGGGGTGTGAATAAAGTAGGTTATGGCAGGTGAAAAATGTTCCCCTTTTGCCTAGAGAAGAAATTTTGCTCCCAGATGTTGCAAAGAGAAGTAAGCAAATAGAATCATTGAATATTTATTCATTCTGTCAACAATTATACTGAGTGATATTTACATGCAAATGCTGAGTTGGGAGCTAAAAATACTATAGGAGCAACACATTGACTCTGGCCTTGAAAATAATCAGCAGAGTGCTGGAGTCTGTTCAAACTGGCCTGCAAGCACCAATCAGGAAGTTTATCAGCTGGCTGTTAAAAGCACACATTGTTAAAAATTAAATTATATAAGTCTGCAATTAAATTAAATAATTTCTAAAATAAAGGCAGCAGATACTTAAAACTCACCACTTCCTAATGATTTCTCTACATTTTACTTTCATCTGTTGTTCTTGAGGTTAGTTAGGGCTATTGTATCTGCATGGTGGAAATACTACAATACACCATACTATGCCATTTATACTATACTATACTGTACTATACTGTACTGTATTGTACCGTACTATACTATACTATACTATACTATACTATACTATACTATACTATACTATACTGTACTATACTATACTGTATTGTACTGTACTATACTATACTATACTATACTGTACTATGCTGTATGCTATTGGTATCTATTGTTTTAAATTTACATGTTTTGTATGTCCTAAATATTTCACAATGGTTTATAAAACAGATACATGCATGTCGTTAGCTTGAAATCAGCCATGGTGGGAGTATTTACACCATGGAAATAAAACACTATAAACAGGGGCTTTTTTTCCTGAAGAGGGACAGAAGAGAGTGGCAGAGACTAAAACTACAAGGTATATGCTTCTCCCAAGGAAAACGGCTGGTCAGGTTCAGCCTTCTCTGGTTTTTGTTTGTTTTTTGATTTTTACTTTTTTTCTGAAACGAGGTGTTGTTCTGTTGCCCCGGCTGGAGTGCAGTGGCGCAATCATAGTTCACTGTAATCTCCAACGCCCGTGCTCAAGTGGTCCTCCCACCTCAGCCTCCTGAGGAGCTGGAACAACAGCCGTGTGCCACCACACCCGGCTAATTTTTATATTTTTTGGAGAGATTGGGTCTCTCTATGTTACCCAGGCTGCACTCAAACTCCTGGCCTCAAATGATCCTCCAGCCTTGGCCTTCCAAAGTGCTGGGATTACAGGCACAAGCCACTGTGCCCACAGCCTTTTCTTCTCATAAGAAACTTGAGCCTTGTGTGGCCAGATTTTCTGATTTTTTCAAAAGAAGCAAGAAATCCAGGCTTTTATCTGAAATTGTCCAAGTTAGTATACCTTGTGGACTATTTAAAAAAAAAAAACATGTTGGCAGACCAGCTGCTAATTTGGTCCAATTTCCTCATTTCACAGATGAGGAAACTGAGGCTTCATCACCGAGCTTGTGATCTGACGGAGACCCAAGTGAGATGTAGGAACTGTCATATTTCACTTGACGCATTCTCTCTGGCTGGCTTTCCCATAGAAATGTTCATCTGCCTAGATATTTTCCCTTTACAAGAGACAGGCTATTGATAAAGTCAGGTATGCATTTCCAGAGTTCAGGAGTTAGGCGTTCAATCAAAGCCATAAGATTCACTACATCTAATGTACCACGTTTTCTCTAAGACATTTCAAAAACATCTGGAGCATGGAAACAAACACTGGATCAAGAATTATAAAGATTTTCTTCGTGATGAAAAATTGGACCAAATGATTTTCTCACTACTTCACCTTATTCCTTGGATTTGCATCTATGTAGGTAGACTAATAGAACATTTTTGCTTCATTTTATATTTTTCTAAAGAAAAATAGTAAGTCTACAAAACATTTTTAAATTTTGCCTACATTATTTGGAACAGTTCGCTGAGCCTCAGCGTGCACTGGTCCACAATAAAGGTTAGCAGAGAAAAACGTCCATGTTATCTAGAGGGCGTGCTTCTAGAATGACAAGGAGAATGGAGTGGTAAGGTGGAGAGCTTTGACCAGATTCCTGTTTGGAAAGAATTCTAAATGGCAAGTCCAATTTGGTCTAGGTAATTTATGATACAAATAACAATAGTAATCATGGATTTTTATGTGGAAAAAATACCTAGAATCTCAATTACGCTTTCGTTTTTCCAAGTTCATGTCTAATCCTTATTTATGAAATTACGTGATTTTTTTCATGTTTAAAATCATAGCATAGCGGCCATTTTGTATTTTCTTTACTTACATTTCTAACATGGCTTCGTAGACACCGTAATGGTATTTTTAATCATTTCATATTATTAATTTGAATTAAAGAACAAGAATTACCTCCTTTGTTTTTGAACATTTATTTTCAAGTTTGCATTATTATAAGTAACACCAATAAATGTTTTCACACGTTTTCCTTTACCAAGAAAATTATAATGTTTCACATTTTTTCCTTTACCAAGAAAATTATAATTTTTGTGGCATTGAATAATTGAGTCAAAGCATATGAAATATCCTTATAGTTCTTGAGATGAATTTCTAGCAGAGTTTACCAATATTTAAACTCCCACCTGCAAACTAGAAATATTCACATTTCATCATATTCCTTTTTTTTTTTTTTTTGAGGTGGAGTCTCACTTTGTTGCCCAGGCTGGAGTGCAGTGGTGCCATCTCAGCTCACTGCAACCTCCGCCTCCCAGGCTCAAGTGATTCTCCTGCCTCAGCCTCCTGAGTAGCTGAGATTACGGGTGCCCGCCACCACACCTGGCTAATTTTCTATTTTTAGTATTGATGGGGTTTTGCCATGTTGGCCAAGCTGCTCTCAAACTCCTGACCTCAAGTGATCCACCCACCTTGGCCTCCCAAGGTGCTGGGATTACAGGCAGGAGCCACTGTGCCTGGCCTCATCATGTCCTTTACAGCACGGGCAATAACATTATTTTTTGTCTTTTGCTAATTTAATAGATACAAAATGACAGTTATGGCTTCAATTGGTATCTCACTCTTGACCACCTCCATTAGATATTTTTTAATATGCTTGTTAATTATGTCCTCCCTTGGAAAAATACTCTCTTCATGTCAGACCTAGTTCTATTCAAGTTCCGATTCTAGTTAATTCATCCAATATGTAGGCCTCCAGGCTCGAGGGAAAGCCGTTTTATAAGGCAGTCAACGGAGTGTTTGTGACTGAAGTCAGGTGATTTTTTGTCATTCCACTTATAAAACTCCAGTGCAGCCAAAGGAGTTAGGTGTATCTTCTTTTCCTCAACCAGTTCTAGTTTTTAATTCTTTGGCTATTATGTCCTCCTCAAAGACCCTCTTAGTCCCCCTGAGACCACCCAAAATGCGGCCTTTCCTTCCTCCCAGACCTCTACTTCCGTCGTCACACAATTGTAGTAGAGTTTCTGCCACTGAGAAGACGGAGCATAGAAATACGTTTTCTTTGTGTGATCCAGGAAGGAAAAGGCTCTAATTCAATGAGAAAACTCACACCTATTACCAAGATTACGGCCCTACTGTTTGTCAGTGTTCATAAGGCTTTGTAGGAAAGGACAAAGATGAAGAATGCTGATGAGAGGCTCTGCCGTACACTGAGATTTCTTTTTATACAGTGCTCCTTTATTAAGCATACTTCCTTCTGTCTTCTTGGTTTTATTTCATCCTTCATTTTATTAACCTTTCTATGCGTATGCATCAGAGGCCTTCAAACCAGGGTGCCTATCCTCCTGGGGTATGATGTATTATACCTCTAAGGGTAGATGTGAGGTATTTGAGGGGCATGTAGACATGAGTAGTTTTAAAACAACAGTTTTTGGATCTTTAATTCCTTCTGACCTCTTTCTTAAAGTTGATCTATTCAGCACCTGCAGTCTTCTCTATCGCCACCTTGTAATGATTGCTCTGTCCCACCTGGCAGTATGCAGGCATCCCTCTCCCTCCTTCTGAATCCTACAAGTATTTCCAGTGTGTAAGTTGCTGGGTCCAGGCCAGGCGCGGTGGCTCATGCCTGTAATCCCAGCATTGTGGGAGGCTAAGGCAGGTGGATCACGAGGTCAGGAGTTTGAGACCAGCCTGACCAACATGATCAAACCCAATCTCTATTAAAAATTAAAAAATAAAAAATAAATAGCCAGGCAAGGTGGCAGGTGTAATCCCAGCTACTTGGAAGGCTAAGGCAGGAGAATTGCTCGAACCAGGGAGGCAGAGGTTGCAGTGAGCCCATCACACCACTGTACTCCAGCCTGGGTGACAGAGCAAGACTCTATCTGGAAAAAAAAAAAAAAAAGTTCCTGGGTTCAAAGAGATCATTACAAACGTGTTGAGATAGTGGATGCTGCTACCCAAAACGTCTTTTCCTAAATGGCAATTCTCTTATAATTTGCTTTTAATAAAATTGAAGGAAGAACCTAATTAATTTGTCAGGTTATAAATCATTAAAATAATTGTTCAAGATAAATTCTACAGTGTGAGTTTTGAAAAATAAGTAAGGCGTTTAAATAATTAAGTTACATTGTTAAAAGAATACTGAAACAAAATTTCTTCAAATTCCATGTACTTCCACATATATGAACAAACTTTCTCAAAGTTTTTATCTATAAAGATTTTAAAAAAAGAATAGAATTCCCAGTTTTATTCCAGCAATGACTAATATCCATTTGCTGATACACAGAATAATTGGGGAAAATGAATCATCACTTCATTTATAAATACACTTCTAATAAAATTTCATTCTTAAATTTAGTATCAATGTTTATACAATTTATGTTTTATTCCATTTGTAATTGTCATAGAAAATTAAAAAGTTAATTTCAATGTTTATATGTTTTTCTTACAACAATGCATGATGGAGTGATAAAATTCTATGAAGTAAATAAAATGGAGATACAAGTATTTTTTTTTTTTAAATGATAAAAATCTCTGATTTTTAAAGAACTTGTTCAGGTATATTTAAGTATGTAATGTGTATATTTAGATTCATTGGATACACTTAAAAGAATAATATGTTTTATTTGAAATCATCAATATTTGAGTAATTTCAAAATTTATGATGAAGAAACATAAATGCCAATTTAAATATGTGTGAGGGGAATGCACAGATTTTCAAAATTCTTTAAAAGGGTGTTTAAGCAACAGATGCTTTTTGAGAAATAGAAGATACAAAAAAATACCCAAATAAAGGCAAAAGCAGATAAATATGGAACATCTCATTGTGCACCTGAAGAGCCCTCAAGGTGCATGTGCTTTTGCACGCTGCCAAGAGAGCATTTCATAGCCGGCTCTGTCTTTAACCTTCTTGGGATTCTTAATTAAGATTTGTCCTTTCCAATCTCATGGAGTGCTTCTGAGCAGACACATCAGTGACATGCCATTTAACTGTATTCAAAGATTATTACCAAAGGGCTTTACAAATTTTCATGAGTTTTCACTCTTAGTTACATTTCCATTTTTCTTAAAATAGTAACAAGTAGCTAGCTTTTATTAAATGTCTATTGTTTTCTAGGCCAGTGACTCTCTTGAGAAATTATTATACATGCAAATTTTCATACCCCAAACCTATTGAATCAGAAATTCTGGGCGTGGGGCCCAAATAGAGCATAATTAGGATGTATGCCAAGGAAGATAATATTTATTTTGGCTTGGTGCCTTGGACATAGTAGGCATTTAATAAAAGTTAGTTGCTATTTTTTTTTAAAATAAATAGTTCCTTCTAGCTCCTTGGAAGAACTTTTCTAGTTAATTCTAGATCCGTGGAAAAAATAGTAGTATGTGTTCAATTATTCATAGGCTATAATGGCTTAACATGTTTAAAATAAAACTCATTGCCTTCTACCAAAACAGATTTCCCAACTTCCACATTTCTATCAATGATAAAATATACTTCTATAAACCTCTGATGGTTTCAACCAGAAAGTTCTTTATTGAAAGGCCACACTCAGCGATCTCAGATGCCCATAAACCTGGACTTATTTCTTCTAGCAGCTGCTCCAGGTTCTGAAATTCTCCCCATCAAAGTCATTTAATTGTGTAAGAAAGTTTATCCATGTGTCTTATATTAAAATTCACATCAGTTTCCTGGAGAAGACATGTATTAACACAAAAGCATATCAGCTATTCAGAATGACTAGGATTCACCTAGTAGAGCACTTTAGGGTCTTGTGTTATTGCTCCTGCTGCCGATGATGATGATGGTAATGATCACAGTCACCTTTTTCTGGAAGAGGGGCTGAGCCATCAGGGCAGAAAACAAATCAGGAGTCCAGCAACTTGCCCAAGCTCACCGACGCAGGGAGAGACAGGGCCTTATTCCCAATCAGGACACCTAGTGCCAAGAGGCCACTGCCCACTTTCCTTTGCCCTAGAGAACTGCACACAAAACCAGACTTCGCCCACTTCACAATTTGACCTGGCATCAGGTCTAAATATTGCCATCCCTCAGGCTTTAGAACCCCCAGTGGGAATTCTGCCTGGTACACTCTCAGCCTGCACCCTGTATTTTCTGCTCATTTTATCTTTGTAAAACACGGTCTTCATCTGTTTACAATCTTTCGGTCTTTTTATTTTCTCACTGTCTTAGCGCAGAGATCGTTCAGCTTCAGTGACCCCAACGATCACTTAGGTAGCTTGTTCAGGTGCAGATTCCTAGGCCCTGCTTCCTAGGGGACTGATACAGTTGATCTGGGGCAGGAGTCTGTGAATCTGAGTTTTGATCACCTCCACTCAGGTAACTGGGATTTTTCAGGTCTAAAAACCATATTCTGAGAAACAATACTAGTTTGTGCATTAAATCCAAACTAAGTTTGTGACTTAAGGTGCCCCCAAATTTGGTTTACCTTATTTGCTCCACACTTATATAATAAAGAACAAATGTTGACAGCTCTTTGGCTTAATATGAACTGAGAAAATGAGCTTTTATGTATGTATTTCAGAACATGCTATGTTGAGCACAGATGGCTAACCTAAATCAAAATATCCAGATGCATATGTATTTCAAAAGTTTTTTTTTCCCTTTGGGGGAACAGCAAACAAGAAACTAGAATGAAGAAAGATGACAGTACCGAAGTGTGGCCTCAGAAATATGAGCAACTTCTCCACATAGAGGACAACGATTTTGCAATGAGACCTGGATTTGGAGGTAAGTTCTATCCTCAAAACACATGTCAAAGCCCACCGTACTGTCAAAATGGAGGTCAAAAGAACTAAAACAGATTTACAAGAAAAAAACACAAATGCACCCAAAAGTGGGTGAAGGATATGAACAGACACTTTTCAAAATAAGACATATATGAGGCCAACAAACATATCAAAAAATGCTCATCATCACTGGTCATTAGAGAAATGCAAATCAAAACCACTTGAGATACCACCTCACACCAGTTAGAATGGCGATCATTAAAAAATCTGGAGACAACAGATGCTGGAGAGGATGTGGAGAAATAGGAACACTTTTACACTGTTGGTGGGAGTGTAAATTAGTTCAACCATTGTGGAAG